CATCCTTTCCAATTGCATATACCAATCCAGTGATTCCCCACTTAAACTGTCCTGAAAGCAATGAATCATTAGCTTTTGGTTCTGAGCGTATGCATGCATTTTCCTACAGTACATGCGTAAGTGGTTTCTCGGACAAGTGAGCCCTTTATATCTTCCAAAGTCCGGTACTTTGAACTTTGGTGGGATTATTACATCCAGAACAAGACCCATTTCGAGGGCGTCGACATCAAAAGCATCATATCCTTCCACAACTTTCAACCTTTCTTCTAGAGCCTTGTATTGACCTAGTGCCAACGGGTTTTCAACAGCAGGGGTGTTGATCACTTTCTGTGGTGCCTGATTAACATCCTCCAGATTGTTATCTCTGTATTATAGATCCAAGTAATCGTCAACATGATTAACTGGGATGTGCAGGGTGGGAGATGCCCCCGCCTTTGGTGGAGGTGGGATAAATCCCTCATATTCTTGTCTTGTCTCATGTTGAGCCATGACAGATTTATGTGGCCCTGTTTCGAGTCCTTTTCTCAATGACTTGGGTTATTTCTTCGAAAGCTACCCTAGGAATCTTTTCTTGTCTATCAATGATGTTCTTCAAAGCTAGAAGAACCTGACTCATGTCTCCCCTCATTGAGTCGATGTTGCTTTTAACTTGTTCCAAATCCAACTTAAAAGTTGCTTGATTCCCTTCTATTTGTTCCATGGCTCTTAAGTGGTGAGCTCTTGTTTGATACGGAGGCCAAGGAGGTGGTGGTTTCCTTCTACCAATGGTTCAACTGGTGAACATTTTTTGAAAAACAATGAGTTTCTGAATGGAAAATACATGGGATGTAATGTTTTCTGAATGCATGATTATGTATGTGTGATGCTTAAGTTTTAAGCCTTGTGTGTCTTATTCACCTGGGTATACATATATATAGGTTTTTGCTTTTTTCATTTTTATTTAGTAAGTATCTGAAAAATGAATACACAAACAAGATAGGAAACACAAAGCTTTTATTGAAACATCAACTGTCTTTAAAGGATAATACATCTCAGATACTGAAAAATATTACAATTCTAAACAGTAAATTCGCTAGAAGGAAAATACACCAAAGGAAAACAATATTCTAAGCCCTTTTACGAATATATTCTCTAAAACGATCAACCATTGTCCTACACAGCTTGAGAAAGTTGTCAACATCCTCTGGGAGAGGGGCCATTACACTTTCTGCGTCTTTTAAGCTTCTGGGAATGTCTTCGATAAGGTTGTTGGCTAAGAACGCGAGCTTCTCGTGCTTATCTTTGTAGTATTGGTACTCTTGGTAGAGGTGGGGAATTATCTTGTGGTTATCCCTTCCTGCTTGGGCAATTTTCATATATTGTTCTTCCCAATACATCTTTTCAGCTCTCAGCTCGGTGTAGAGTCTTCGTTGTATCAGGAAGTTCTCCGGAGCCCCTCTAGTTCAAGGCATACTTGCTCATACTCATCAGTCTTCTGGGTCAGATGTCTCTCTACCCTCATTTTCATCAGGTGCTCTTTGACTTCTGACTCTTGGCTATCCTGAAGTCTGGTAGTGAGGTACTTCAACTGTTCTTCTTGGTCTAAGGATGTCTGGGCCAAGCTTTGGATCTGAGCCCGTAACTCTTCCTCTAGCACTTTTTTTCCTGCACAACCTTTTCATACCATCTATTCAACCTTCCAATTTCATTGGCAGCATCTTCCATTCTCTGGTTATGGGAATCCAGATTAAAGGTAGCACTTAAAAGCCCTTCGGTTGACCGCTTCCTTTCAAACTTTCCTTTTCAAATGCTTCACACTCTTTTTGGATCTTTTGATCTTTCGATTCGAGTATGCGTTGCATTTGTCTTTTCTCCTTGGTCAAATTGAGGAGATTGAGCTCTAGTTCTTCCTTCTCTCTCTGAGCCTGCTTTAGTGCCTTTTTTAGATCATCTACCTCTTCTAAAGACATAGGAGGAGTAATTGGGGCCTCTTGCTTATATTCAGGGTCTATATCAAAAGGAAGTTTGATAATCTGTACCCTGTTTAGAACCCAATGAGTGTAAGGTTCTTTTGCCACTGCATTCTTCTTCTCTTCTTTTCTTTTTTTAACCCTACTCCAAGCCCGGATGATTTTGTTGAGTAATTCTCTGTCATTTATGCCCATGTCGTGAACAATCAATTGCTGAAGTTGTTCATCTGAAGGTTTATCTTCTAAAGGAAACCCTAGTTGTCGTAAGGCCAAGGTGGGATTGTAATTGATGCAGCCTTGTGACCCGATTAGTGGGTCATTAGGAAAATCTCCACAACTATAGATAATATCAATGATGTCTAACTTCCTGGCATACCATAATACAGAGTTAGCAGTAAGAGATCTTAACTTCTGAGGCCATTCATACCTTGTCAGACTTGGGATTAAATAATCCTCCTTGTAAAGGTGAGTCATAAGCCAGGAGTATAGTAATGGAATACAACAATTCAAAGTACCTCTCTTCTTCTCATACCGTGTGTGAATGGCATATTAGATATCAGCAAGTAGAGCTGGAGTGGGGTCTGTATTAAAATTTTTTACTCCCCAAAACACGCTGGTGGCGGCAGGGTCAATATAATCTACAGTGCATGGAAATAAGACAACACCAAATATGAGCAACCCAAGACAGTCGACACAAGATTCCCATTCCTTGTTATTTTCCAAATCAAGAGCTTTGCTCTCCAAATAACACCTTTTAATGCCTCGCACTTCTCCTTCTTTCTTATAATTTAGAGCAAACTCATGGTAGGGGATTCCCAGACCTTCGGCCAGTATCTTAATATCAATGGTTTGCCCAATACCTGTATAAGCCTTCTCTTTGGAGAAGTTCAGAATTCTATCCAGTTCCTCTAAGGTCGGGGCTAACTAAAAATCTTGAAATGTGAAGCATTTCAGTGGAGGATCATAGAACTGTACTAGAGCAGAAATGGCGTCCAACTGTACTTCAATTTTAATTAATTCCAAGATATCCCCATAACGACGAGTAAATGTTTTCATGGCCCTTTCAGACAATCTTTATTTTACAGCTTTGATTCGAGTTACATTCGTCTTGGTAACATTGATACGAATGAGCTGTTTTCCTTTGGCATTCATTTTCAGATACTCACACAAAAACCTTTACTCTTTATACCCTGTGAATAAGACAAGCAACCAATGTATGATGAACATGCGAAATGTAGAGATGCACGAACATATGAATAAAATTTTAAATGACGGGATTCAGTGAACACTAACCCTTAGAAGGTAGGATCTAGCTTGGTTTTATGGATATTCTACCCTCCCTATAAGGTGATTTCCTTAAGGGTATCATGAATAACACTAGAGGGAAAGGCGCAAGGGCCTCCCTTAAGTGAAGTCTCTTTGTAGACCAAAACTTTCGTCTCTAGGTCGTGAAAGGTCTCATCATGAGATTTTAGTTTAGGGTTATACAAAGAGTCATATGCGTCATTCCAAAGTCCTACTTCCCAAGAGGATGTCTCTTGAGACGTATTTCTTTTGCGGAATTCCACTGACTCTAGGCGAAGTCGTCACATAAACTCATAGGGATGATGTATCCCCTTGGCTAATAGACGAACCTTCTTTCTAAGGTTTATTAAAAAAAATTGCAAAATTTAAAAACCCGTCACTGACATATAAATGTAATGATTAATAAGAGAAAGCAAGAAAATAAACAAATAAATAAATAAGTAAATAAACAATAATTAAACAAATGTAAAAAACCCAAAAATAAAAAACCCCTTAAAACCCTAAAACTAATGGACAAGACTCCTAAACCTAAGGTTGGTTCCCCATCAGAGTCGCCAGCTGTTGCAACTGGTTTTTAAATTAGAGTCGCCACCCTTAATTTTTATCCTAAAGGAAGGGAGTATAAAGGAATAACCCTAAAGTTCAGAGATTCTAGATTTGTACTCGGTTCTAGATGGGGGGAAGGTGTTAGGCACCCCTTATCTACCTTGTTCGCAAGGATACTAGGTTTAGAAGTGCGGTGTTTAGGAAATAGGGTTTTAATTATTAATTAAGGAAAAGAGTTTGAATTTTAGTTAGCGGGACTCGCAACGATTTTTGATCGTATGCCTACGTATCCTCCTTAGGAGGAATCAGAGCCTCATTTTCGTAGTTTGCAGTTGGTTTGTGTTTTTATAGATTACGCATATATTTTAATTTTCGACGCACTTAGTTCGAATGTGTAGATAGCGGAGATTTTGAACTAAACGCGAAGTTAATTAAAAAAACTCTTTGCATTCCTTTTTGAAGATTAATTGTTTGATTTAATTTATTACAAAAATAATTTGACGTTTGTTTGCGTATTTTTAGACGTATGCAGCTGAAGAGTCTAGTATAGCCTTCTTATCACGTGGCCAGATATTGGCCACGTGTCGCTTACGGATATTATAATTTTAATGAATCACGGGTTTTAATATTTTGATATAAAATATTAAATTAAATTATGTTACAAAATTTATTTTTAAGCGTGTGATTTTAATATGATTAAACAATATTTTTTCCCAAGTCTAACATAATCTAATTATAATAATAAGTAATATGTAATATTATAATCAAAATAAAAATATAAATATATAATATTATAATTATTAAAAATAAATATATAAATATATAAAAATCAGAATAAATAAATAAATAAATATATAAAATGAAATTATAAAAAAAAAAAAAAAATGAATTTGCTGGGGGTGCGATTTTAGTTATGAAGTAATATTTAGGAGGTGCAAATAGAAAGGGCCTGAATTCATATTTTGAATTCAGGCCCCAAATGGCCAGGGGGTGTTAAGTGAAATAGAGGAACACAAATCCAATTCTAAATTGTTAAAAAAAACAAAATTAAAAACAATATGACCAAAGAAAAACTATCAAACATTAGTAAACCCTTCACAATGCTTTTTTCTTTCTCTCTCGAAGAACAACACCATCCCCTTTTCAATTCTGAGCAAACCAGACCCAAATCAAAAACGAAAATTGCAAGGATACATAACAATGATTCATATTTCTAAACCACAAGTATCATACAAAAATCCAAGACAAAGATATTACCGACTGAAACCGTGGCAAAGCGTATGGTCGGAGAAGGGGATGTCGAGGGAGGTTACTTCGGCGGGTTTTCAAACTTCTCAGGTACCGCTTATGATTTTCCTCTTCTATTGTAAAACTTCTTCTAAAAAAATCGATTTCCAGTTGAAGTTGTCGTTGTTTGGTTTTTCGGCTAGCAGGTATTGAAGGCACTTGGAGGAAGAATAGACCAATTTTCTGCAGAATTTATGTTATCCTCTCTTCCTAATTTTCTCTTTTGATTTCTCCCCCTACTGTGATGTTGTTTTCGTCTTCCCCCTCTCTCCTTGCTCTGTAATTCTTTCTTTTTTTATAGCGAACTAGTGTTGCAACTTTTTGGAAACAAAATAAATTGCCTTGAATGTAAATTTTTTTGGGTTTTGTTGTCTTAGGAAAGAATTTGAAATTGTCTGCAAATCTGTAAATGCCTTAACTAGTTTTTGATATTGTTCTGATTTCGTGTTTGAATGCTTAATATTCGTTTCTGCTTATGTTTCAATTTGATCTTGTATTAATGTTTTTAATTCATAAGAGCAATAAACATGTATTACAGGGCTTGATAACGATATGTACAATATCAGTTTGTGTAAAAAAACAAGCATTATCTTTATTTGATTTTAACAGTAATGGTTTTTTTGTTTTAATTGGGCCGTAAGCAATTTTTTTTGTTTTGGACTGGGCTGCGTTTTTAATTCTTCTTGTCCAACATGATTTTTAATTATCACACAACTATGGTAACTAAATAGTTATAAAGATCAACAACAATAACTTAATAATATTTGCTATTAATCAATACTAAAAAACAGTAAAATAATAGAAATGTTTTAATAATTTTTGCATTTAGAATATTCAAATAATTTTATTTATCATAATTATAAAATAACAAAATGCATTAATGTTTTTATTAAGATAAATAAATAAACATATAACAAGTCGGCACAAAAATGGAAGAGAAACGGGCCTTCAAAAACTTGAACGCACATAGGCCCAAAATATACACTCCCCCCCCCCCCCCCCCCCCCCCCCATTATCGGAAAGTAGTTAAAACCTTAGTGGGCCATCAAATTTACTTTCATTGGGCCTCTAAAAAAATGTTTTTATAGTCCCCTTCTTCAATATTTAAAAAAGGCAAAAAGAATTCTACACGGGCCTTAACAAGAAACATGGATTGCTCACACCTCTTTGACTAAAACAATACACCTCTCTTTTAAATTTGAAACAAACTTTAAAACCTGATGGGCCATCAGATATTGATGGTCCATTTTACATTAACATACCCCCCTTTGACTTTAAACACCCCCGTAGAAATAAAACCTATAATATGGTTTACTGGAAACCTAAATATAATATTAGAGTAGGGAAAATTTGGGGTATGACACTCATCATTCCACTTGACTACTTGATCTTTCTTTAATAGCTTGAAGATTGGCTCGCATGTAGCTGTTAGGTGAGAAATGAATCTGACAATATAGTTCAGACGTCCCAAGAATCCTCTGACTTCCTTCTCAGTACGAGGAGCGGGCATCTCTTGTATGGCTTTAACTTTGGCAGGATCGACCTCAATACCTTTGTTACTGACGACAAAGCCCAGGAGTTTACCAGACCTTACCCCAAATGTGCACTTGTTTGGATTCAACCTCAGCTTGTACCTCTTCAGTCTCTCAAACAGCTTTTGTAAGTGGTCCAGATGCTCTTCTTCCGTTTGCGATCTTGCTATCATATCGTCTATGTAAACCTTTATTTCATGATGTATCATGTCATGAAATAAAGCTACCATGGCGCGTTGATAGTTTTCCCCAACATTCTTCAGTCCGAATGGCATCACCTTATAGCAGAATATGCCCCAATGTGTGACAAATGTCGTTTTCTCCATGTCCTCAGGTGCCATTTGGATTTGGTTGTAGCTTGAGAATCCGTCCATGAAGGAAAACACTTTGTGTTGTGTCGTATTGTCAACTAGGATATCAATGTGGGGGAGTGGAAAATTATCTTTAGGGCTTGCTCTATTCAAATCTCTGTAGTCCACACACATTCGTACTTTGCCGTCTTTTTTATGTACGGGAACAATGTTGGCAACCCATTGAGGGTAGGAAGTGACAACCAAAAATCCAGCATTGAATTGCTTCATGACCTCTGCTTTAATCTTTTCTGACATATCAGGTCTCATGCGGCGGACCTTTTGCTTTACTGGCGGGCAATCTTCTCTTGTAGGCAGACGATGTACCACAATGTCTGTATCAAGTCTCGGCATGTTTTCATATGACCAGGCGAAGATTTCAACATAATCGTGTAGCAACTGAATCAGACGCTCCTTGACGCTGGGTTCCAGATTGGCACCCATCTTGACCTCTTTTTTTATCCTTTTTGGTATCCAAGTTGATTGTATCTACGGGTTCCTCGTGAGGCTGAATGGTTCTTTTCTCTTGTTATAGCAGTCTGGCAAGCTCCCCTAGTACTTCACAATCTTCCTCACCTTCTTCTTCGGCTTGGTAGATTAGATTCTCAGAGTCACAAAAGGCCATAGCAGTATCGTTACCCATGGGATCCAGAACGGATGGATACCTACATTGTAGGTGTGTGTAAGGAAGGAAAGTAAAATGTAAAAGAAAAACAATGAACACAAAAGTTTGTATGCCAAAAACGTCTGTGATCTATTGATGCCATATGAAGATGAAATAGTAACTCTTACAAATGGACCATTGTGCCTCAGGCAAGACACAAGGTTTTAAGAGTACGAATTTGTTTTTGAATATTACAGATCCAACAAAAATGTAAAGGTAAATTACCGTGGGATGAAAGTTATTGGGACGAAGTCTCTAGCCTCCCAATTGTTGAGTCCTCCATTGACAATCGGAAAGATCCAATCCTCCAGGTTGCAATCGTCTTCACCATCTTCTACCGCGTTTACCTCACGGTTGTTAATCTTCAAGGGTGTCCCTCCAGCACGGGCACGGCGTACAACCTTTTGAGCACTTGAAGTGAAACCTAAGCCAAACTTGTCAGACTTAAATGGGATATCCAGAAGTTGCCCCTAGATGGTGCATCCACCTTCCTCTACCACTGCTTTGGCGTCCTTCAAAGATGACATTCTGAGCGGCAGTATTGTAACCTTGGGAATCTGGGACACGATCTTAGTCATTACTACCTCTTAGGGGACCTCTTCGAAGTGTTGAAATGGAGTTTCGATGAATTCTCTGTCTAATTCCACATATCTGAAGGAATTGAGATCGCTAATCATGTATTCTTCCTCTCCGTGGACAGTAATAATCTTTTCCTGAACCGGATACTTCAGCATCTGGTGCAATGTAGAGGTGACAACTGGATCCATGGCCGACCTAGTAGACAAGAGTACGAAGGGCGGATGTCCATTACATAGAAGGTTGAGTTGAAAGTTTGAGTCCCAACCTTTACGGGGATATCCACTTCCCCGTGCACCATTCTCTTCGAGCCATCAAATGCCCTTACTACTATGCTTCTTGGCTTTAGCGTCAGTCCTTCGCAGTCAAGTCTGTCGAAAGCTTTTTTCGGTAATACATTCAAGGATGAGCCAGTGTCCACCAAGACATGGGTCAGAGTTGTGCCCCTACACTCCACTGAGACGTGCAACGCCTCATTGTTCTTTCTTCCCCTTGGTGTCAGATCAGCATCTGAGAAGCCTAGGCCGTTATCCGCTGTCAAGCTGGCCACACAGTCTTGAAATTATTCAGCAGACATCTCTTAAGGCACATGGGCCGTTTTTAGGAATTTCACCAAGGTTTTCGCATGAGCCTCAGAACACAGTAGTAATGCCAGCATGGAGATCTTGGAGGGAGTCTGCCCAAATTATTCAACTACATCGTAGTCGCTCTTCTTGATAATTTTCAGGATTTCTTCCATTTCTTTTTTAGATGTCTCGGGGACAGTCAATGGCTGGGCCTTCGTCTGGACAGGCTCGACCAAAATACTTTTTCCTCGAGTTCCAGCAGCGGGGGTGTTGGTAGGAATGACAACAGGGGTTGTAACGTCTTCGTCAATAGGAGCACTTGCAGAGATGATTATGGGTACGGAAGTAACCTTTGGAGCAGCCATATGGATGATCACGGGTCCAGAAACTTCTTTTGGGGGAGCAATCTCTGGAGAAAAGATCCTACCGCTTCGGTTAATTTTACTAGTTCCGGAAATATTGCTGATGCCATAATCTTCTTCTTGTTTGATGCCATGGTAGTAAATGTCCCCTCCATAATTCCACGACACAGTTTTGTCTGATTCATATGGGACTCGCCCAGGCATTGTGATTATTAGAGGAGTTGTTCTCGAAACTGATGTAATTCTAACGGGTCTTTTGGTGGAGACCCTGGAAGAATTGGCGGAAATGGTAATGATTGAAACATATTCAACAGGAATAGGTGAAACAGGCGTACTTTCAAACAAAATCTCTTTGTTATCTATCAAGCGCTGGATGCCTGCTTTCAACAAAGGACAGTCAGTTGGTGAGGACAAGCAGAGATGGAAAACTTCATTACAGCCCGGGAACACACCGGCTTTCAACAAGTTTAATTTGATGGTTGGAAGTGGAGTCATGAGTTTATCGACCGTGGCAATAAACAAATCTTCTTCAATAGCATTGGTATTGTGACCATGCCTGGGCATAGGAGCAGAAATGACATTTGGCTTCTCGTGCGCATCAAACTTAATTTCTTTTGCTTAGATGAGGTCTTGTATTTTGTTCTTCAAGGCCCAACAGTTATTATTACTGTGACCAGGACTTTCTGAGTGATATGTGCAATGGGCATTGGGGTGATAATAATGAGATGTTGTATTAGGGTTTTTCGGAGCTTCTTTCAAGGTTGCCAAGTTAGACCTTAGAAGATGCGGTAATACTTGAGACGGAGTCATGTCGAATCTGGTGAATTGCCTGACTGGCCTCTCCATCCTTGGTTGATTATTTCTTTGTTGATTAGGCATAGGCTTTGGAATCATAACAGCCCCTACCATTGGCCGGCGTTCGGTTCTCCCTCGGTTTCTTTGCGGATATATAGCAGCTACTTCTTTCTTCCCAATAAAAGGCTTCCTTGCAGCTGTAGAAGAAGATGTATCCTTCTAAATCTTTCCACTTTTTATACCGGCTTCCACCCTCTCTCCGGTTAAAATTAGTTCAGTAAAGCCTGCAGATGAGCTTCCGATCAGATGGTTGAAAAAGGGACCAGACAAAGTGCCTAAGAACATGTCCGCCAATTCCCTTTCAGACAGAGGGGGTTGAACT